AAATGAAAACGAAATGAAAAACTAAAAATAAAATAAAAAATAAAACTAAAATCCAAAAAAAAAAAAAAAAAAAAAAAAAATACAAATATCAAACAATAAATGAAGCAGTGATATTTACTCACTATAAGATTCTATAAGATTCCCTGAGGATTCTTTTTTTTCTTGCTGCTGATTCTGGACGCTTTCTTTTTTTATTTAAAAAAAATAATGTTTCACCATTCTGTATTGATGAGATGGAGTTGAAAAATTTCGATTAATTTGTTTTTTTCTTTTTTTTTAGTAACGACGACAACGAATTGAATGTTGACGAGTTTTGAATGTAATATACAATGAAATTGAACAAAAACAAAATATCCATCTTTGAATCATGAACAAAATCCGGAAATTTTGAATTGGAAAATTGAAAAGAGAGAATGAGAGAGAGAGAGGAAGAGGAAGGAAGGAAGTTGATGCTCGGTATTTTCGTTTTCACTATATCTCGATGTATGACTTTTATTTTTCATCATCTTCGTTTTCATAAAAGTTACTTGGAACAAACTGGAACAAAAAAACCGGACAAAAGTGAAAATGAAAAAAAAAAAAAACTTTCTTCTATATTCTATATTCATCGTGTTTTTTTTAATTTTCATATATATGAGACATTTGCTGTTGTTCCAAATGAAACACACAATACCAATATATTGTATTACACTATAGAATTGGAGAAAAAGTTGAACTTTTTTTTTGTTTTGTTTGCCTGAAATAAATGAGAAAAAAAAATAACCGAAAGGATTGACATGGTTTATATGTTATTATTATTATTATTGAAATTTAAAGAACATCTCGTGTTCTGTTTTTTTTTTTTTCTTTTGAATTCATTTTCAAAAATGAAATTATTCTTTTGGATGAAAAATGCCCCTCCCCAAAAAAAAAATCCAATTCTTTTTGTGAGTATAGAATTTCCCTTGTCATTTTCTATTGAAGCGAATAATTGTATATTTTCTACATTTTTCTTTTGCCAAATTTTAAAACCATGATTAAAATTTTAATTATTCTGTGTGTGTGTGTTGTTTCTGGCGTATAAACAAGAATAAACAGAAAAAAAAACATTGCATATACCCATGATTTGAATGAATGAAGAAAAATTTTATAACGAAATTAGTTTTTTAAAATCACATTTCTATTCATTGTGTGTGTGTGTGTTTTCCTGGTTCTTTAGAAAATTCTTGGAATTTTGCCCACGAAATTCTGAAAGATAATGATGATGATGATGATGATGATTTGTTTATATAATGCAAGTACTGCCGTATTGAACAAAATAGAAATTTGAAAACAACAACAACAACAAATTGTAACAAGTGTGAATGTGGCCATTTAATTTTCTTTGTCTTTTTGTTTTTGTTGTCGTGTTCCATTCACATCGGATCATTCGATTGGATTCTTTACCCGGTTGTTTGGTTTCGATTCAAATTAAATTTCTGGTTCAGCCCCTGAATAGTAATGTGTTGTGTTTTGTTTTTTTTTTTTTGGTTGAATGATTTCAAATATGATCATGTATGTATATTGGTGATCGACAAACCCTCGAAAAAACAAACAAGACAACAAACAACAAACAACAACGACAAACAAACAAACGAAAAAAAATAAATAGAATCATCGATAGATGTGTTACGAAAATGAAAATGTGATTCGCATGATTTGGAAATTTTTTTCTTTTTATGTTCGCACCAAAATTTTTTTTTTTTTTTGGTTTAGTTTATTCTCTATTCTCTGTTGTATATACATGGTTCATTTAGTAAAGGCGTGTTACATTGAATATATACACAGAATCATGATGATGATGATCATCATAATGATCATTACAAACACGCAAAATAGACATTTTTTTTCTTGCTCAAACCATGATTTCACGGTTGATACATATATTGTAATAATAATAATCTATATTCTATACATATGAATAACAACCATTTTGAAGCTAATTTTATTCATTAAAAATGATTAAAAATTTGATGTATAAATGAAATGATTTGGAATTTTCTTGTTTTTTGTCTTGAACATGAAAACATAATTTTTGAAAATAGTAGTAGTAGTAGCAGCAGTAGCAGTAGTAGTAGTAGTAGTAGCATAGGCCAAAGGTGAAATGTAAACATTTTTCTTTTAAATGTTTTGGATTGTTATTGGTAGTAGTATAGGTAAAAGTAAGACCCTACCCTATCATCTATCTATTGATAGAATCGAATTGTTTTGGTTCTATAGATAGATTAATAGAGAGAGAGAGGGTAGCAGGTAAATGAATGAATGACGAAAACAGAATTTTTTATTGTGATGAAATTATTGTTTTTTTTTCACTGTATCATCATCATCATCATCATTTTTTGTTGATTTCTTACGATAACGATAAAAAGTGTTCCAGGATTCTTTCTCTCTCTTTCTATGTTTGACCAATGTCAATGCGTGTTAAGGTCAAGCCGCACGGGAATCTTTAATTTTGACCATCATTTTCTTTTTTTGTTGTTGTTGTTGTTGTTAAACGCGATGTGTTTATAATCACTCAAACATTACAATTTGTTCCATAATTCTATACATTCATTCAATTTATTTTGCGCATCGTGAACTCTATAGATTTTTTTGTTTTGTGTGTGTGTGTTTGTGTATGTGAATGTTCTCCGGGTTCATTTAGGATGTTCATGTTCACGTTTTTTTTTCTTTTTGGATCATAAAGAAATTCCATATAGTAAACAAAATAGCGGGAAAAAAAACAGACGGCGACAACGACCTTTTGGGATTTTGTTTTGGATTCGAATCCAACCAGAAAACCCAAAAACTGAATATATACAAGAACATTGTGAGTTTGTACAATTCTCGATCATTGAATGCATCAAATTCAGCTTGAATTTCTCATGTTTTTTTTTCTCTCTCCTTTTTTTCTATAGGCTTAAATCACCAAAAAAAAAAAAAAATTTTGCGTTATATATTCGTCAACTTCTGTATATGAGGAGAAGATTGTTTTATTTGAGAAATTTGCTACCATCATTTTTTGGATTCTGCCTATTCTGCTGATGCTAAAATACTCGATACCGAAATATATCGACAACGATTAGTGTATTTTCACTCATTCATTCATTCATTCATCTTTCAATTGGCCATCATAAAAAAAAAGGGAAAACATATTTGCATATTTGTTTTGTCTTCTTCTTCTCTCTGTGTGTGTGTGTGTAAATTCAATTGCCAACCTACCAATCAACGAACTTTCAAAAGCACATCATTGCAGCTTGAAAACTATCGAAACCTATTAACTTTTTGTTTGTTTGTTTGTTGGTTCTTGATCATCACACATTCTTTATTACAGGCGAAAAACAACTCTTCTCTTCTTCTTCTTCTGCTTGTTATATGGTCATATAATATAATAACCACCTAAGAAGCAAGTTTTGTTTTGTTTTGTTTTGTTTTGTTTGTTACGCATCCCCAAATGATCATCATCAAATAACAGAATCGTTTAAAAATCGACGACTACGACAACGACAACGACGACGACGACGACGCCAACTTATGTCGAATTCACACACACACACACACACGCGCGCAACTAGATATAACCCGAATAACATCATCATCATCATCATCAACTAATGTTTTTTAGTTATCATCATCATCATCATTATATTATGCTTCTACATTGGAAAAATTTTTACATTCATTTTCATTCAACCATTTGAAGATGATGATGATAATGAACAACATTGATTTGGTTAACAACAACAAAAACAATTTTTTTTTTGAATTGTTAAAAATTAAAAAATAGATTCACAGAACCGATCAACCATCATCATCATTTGGTTGTTTAGTAATTATTAACAGCAATAATCATCACATCATCATCATCGTTGTGTTATATTCCATTCATTCACAATACACACACACACCAATACCGTGCCGAATGATTGCCAAATTGCATTTCTCTCTTTTTATTTAAAAAAAAAAATTTTTGTTATGATAGGATGTCAATGATGATGATGATGATGATTAAATCATGAAGCCATAGAGATATATATACATATATACTACGGTGTTTTTCTGTTTCTGTTGTCTGTTTTCGGTGTATGTATGTGTGTTTTTTCTCTTCAAAAGATGATGATGATGATTTTTAAGCTTCAAATCGCAGACAAATCTCAACAATGACGATATATATCCTGCTATAAACAGAAAAACCTCGTTTAACCAAACAACAACAACAACAGCAGCAGCAGCAATGGTAACAGTGGATTGTTCAATTGCAATTTGAATGAGAAATTTTTTTTTGATTTTTTTTGAGTTTAAGCCGACACACAACAGTTTGACAGTATATATATTCAATTCAGCATCATTGTTGTCGTTATTGTTGTTGTTTTCAACTAATCAATCAAATATACATAAATATTGCACATTTGTTGTAGTATATTGTCATTTAAGTTTTTTTTTGTTATATTCATCTGAAATAATAATTTGTTGTTGTTGTTGTTGTTGTTTTTAGAAATGTAAAATTGCTGAGCAAAATTTTCAGATATATATTTTCGTTGTTTCTGGAACATAAACACATTGCATCAACAAACAATGATGATATATTGTGAATTAATCAGAAATTTTTTTTTTCAAAATGATGAAATAAACAATGATGATATCAAAATAGAATCCAATTACCGGCTACCGACTACTTCTTTTTTTCCCCTCTGGTTCATCATCATTTTTTAATATACCGGTAATTTAAACACCATCATCATCATCATCATCATCATTCAAGAATATTATAATACAAAAAAAAAACGAAAATTGGAATCTGACAATAAAAAAACCCCCGATGTATTGCATCATCATCATCAATTTTATAGCTGTCAATTATGTACAGAAAAATTCAATGTCGTTCAAAATTTTTTAATTATAGTGATTATTTCCGAATTTTTCATCATCGCCATCGTTGTCATTATCGGTTTTTTCCCATTTCATCAACACCATCATCATCATCATTATTTCAATTTCAATTTCAATCAAATTCATCATTATTTTTTTTAACATTTTTTATATTCATTATTTGGTTACAAATTTTTCATAATGTATATGTTCAATCATATCCAAGTACAACAACAAAACAACTGGTGGTTACATCCACCATTCCTACATTATTATTATCATCATCAAATGATAGTTTTCATCAACAGGAAAGAGCTTCAACATCACCATCATCATCATCATCAACATCAACAGCCACAACGATATCAACGATGGACACGACGGAAATGGTTGAAATTCCTATTACAATTTCAACTGCAGCCAGTACAATATCGGATATTAAAGAGAATACAAATTCTGAAGGTTAGATTATTATTATTGTTTTTGTTAATTATCTTTTCATTATTATTAATTATGATGAATTTTCATTACAAAATTTCCTATATATTTTTTAAATAGGCACAATCACTACATTAGAAAATTCTAATGATAAAATTTCATCAACATACAATAATTCATCAAATGAAACAGGAAATTTGCTTACACAAACATCATCATCATCATCAGCAGCAGCAACAACAATTGCAGCCGATTTATTATCGATACCGGAATTTGTTCTAAATCTAAACGCTAGCTCATCATTTGTATCAAATTGTACGAATGTTGAATTTTATTGTGAAATAATACCATTGAAACCCATAACGGATAATCCGTTATTGAATTCAACAGCCATTTGGTGGAAATTTCGTGGCCAAAATGTTTCCTCATCAACTCTTCCAGGTGGCCGTGTGATAAATCGTCAGGATAATATACATTTATCCATATTAAATATTGAATGTGCTCAATTCGGTATACATGATGGTGATTATAGCTGTCATTCATCGTCATCATATACAGAAATCTCAGGATCTCAACATTTTTTCATTACAAATAGTTCTAACTTATATTTTGAAATTTCGGGTAAGCGATTCATTTAAACAAATCATTGTGAACATATCATATATTAATTTAATCATGATATACGATAATGAAAAGAATGATATAGATTATTTAGAGTTTCAAATTTCTTTTTTTTACTATCTTTTTTTTCAATACTTTTGATTCGATTTTAGTTCTTGTGATGGAATCCATTGAACCACAAAATCGTACAATAAGCCAGGAAATCGATACTGCCGCGCAGTTAATATGTCATGTGCTTGGTTATCCTAAACCACAAATTGTTTGGCAACGATATGACCCAAACACATTGATTACAACTGATATTGAATCTGATGGCCGTGTCGATATTGAAGATCAATTTCTTCCCGAATCATCACATGATATTGTGGAAAATCCATTGAATCCATTGAAATTATTTCAAAGTATACTTCGTTTTGAATCATTACGTCGTTCCGATAATGGTACCTATGTTTGTCGAGCTATCGATATTCATCGATTGGAAAAACCTAAAACACAAGATTTTCAGGTGATCGTATTGGAAGTACCGGAAATTCATATCGAAAAGATTGAAATTGAAAATAAAATAACTGCTGTCATCTCATTTGTTGTTGATTATGATGGTAATCTTCCTATCGAACGATATTTACTGGAATTACGAAACTATACAAATGATGATGAAAATTCAACATGGATCCAATTGGATACACCACCACCAGAATCAATATTGACCGAACATAATTATTCAACGATAAAAGTGAATGATCTCGTACATGCAGCCACATATGGTTTTCGTTTAGCTGCTACCAATCAAATTGTTGGCCAATCCGAATGGAGTATGATGAACATAACGGTACCTGCCGATGTACCTAGTCCAATTAATAATGTACATTTATTATCAAAATCAAATGAAACATTATTATTTGGATGGCGACGCCCATTACATGATAACGGTGCAGCAATTATTCAATTTCATCAGATACTTAAAGATGATCATGATGTGATAATTTGGAATCAGACGATCAACAATACGCAATCACGAAATAAACACATGTCATTATTTTCTAATCTACAACCAGGCACACATTATTCATTCCAGATTCGTGCTTGTTCACATATCGGTTGTGGTGATTGGTCATCGATATTCGAAGTTGTCACTTCGGATGGCCATTCCGATCCACCCAGAAATATTCATATTGAATGTTTTTTCGATACAAAATTAGCACAGACAAATGCAACAATCAATTGGGAAGAACCATCAAATCCACGTGGTTCAATCATTGGTTATAATATATCATTACGTGGTCATACAACACAATCACAACGATTTTTTGAATCATTCGAACAATCGTATCAGGTGACCGGTAATGAAACATTCATATATCATGCTGTATTGAAACCAAATTCCAATTACACGGTACGAATATGTGCAATAAATAAATCTGGCTGTGGACAATTATCACCATTAACCTCATCATCAATGTGCCAATCAAGTCCAACTGTTCCGTCCGAATTTCCTTCAGGCATACGTTTAGAACGTGTTAGACCATCATCATCATCATCATCATCATCATCGACAATTTCAACAAGTAATAGCCATTATTCTGGTATGAGAGATAAAGAAACTGTTCATCAGCCATTTATTGGACAACAACATCAACATCATAATCTTTATCAACAACAACAGCAACAGCCACAACCAGAACGGCAATTGAAATTACATGTGCCACGAATTTCCGAACGTAATGGTCCATTTCGTTGTATTCGTATAATTGTGATACGTCTTCCATCTCATTCTTCGTCCTCTTCATCATCATCAAATATTTCTGATATTAGCAATAGCAACAATACTGATCAACAAAGTGATATATTTAGCCAATATCTTGATCCTGATGGTTCTTATCGAAATCGAATTCCATTAAGTACCTATAAATTAGTACATTCAAAAAATGGTTTAAGTAGTGAAACATTTGGTGCTTATATTGCCAAAGAATTTACACCGGAATCATTTCCTAGTGAGATTATTTTAGGTGATGGTAAAATTTCACGTTGCTATGATGATGCACTTGAATATGATCTCAAATCACGTATCAAACATAGTCGACATTATTCACAGCAGCAACGACAACCGAATGATGAATCTATCGGTGTTGGTAATTCGGATGATAATCGATCACCTAGACGAATTAATTATGAGCTTCGATCAACTAGAATGCCCGAAAATCAAAATGAATCTTATGATGAATTTTTCGAACTAGAAGATGAACATCTAGTTGAGGATCGTGAACTATTTCCAAATACATATTATTCCGCTGCAATAGAAGTTACAGTAATGGCTGTCAATCATACATTATTGGTTGAACAAAGTCCATGGACTGAACCGGTTCGAACTGAACCAATTTTGACAATCATTCCACAATCAAGCCATTCATTCTCGGAAACAACCACTGGAATAATATATGGAACATTTTGTGGCCTATTACTTATCATGACATTATTTTTTTCAGTACTTTGTTTCTTAAAACGTAAAGCAACCGAAGCAACAACACCCGTTCTATTAGATGATGAAAGAATTGGATTATCTAATTTTATTCGACGAACTTTAACCGGACGAAAACATAATAAAGATCAGACACTTTTCTATCAATTGAATTTTAATTCAACACAGGCTATACGAAAATGGGCCTCAAAACCGATACCTATACAGAATTTGGTAGCCGTTTTTCAACAAAGACGAACAAATTCAGATTTTCTCTTTCAAGCCGGTAAGTCATTCATAGTTATTCTTCACATGAGAATTTTTTTTTTTGGAATATCAAAAAAAAAAAAATGCACTAAATTGTTGTTTACCATATCTATTTGACTTTTAAATTATGATTGATTGATTGGTTTTTCGGTTGATCGACCGCATTCATTATTAACCATATTTTTTTTGTTCCATATGTATAAATTTGATTTTTTTTTCACTCTTCTCAATATTGTTTATAGAATTTGAATCGCTTCCTGAAAGTTTTCCGGATCGTACGACCATTGCAAGTGATGCAATCGAAAATGCAACAAAAAATCGATATCCGGACATAAAATCATATGATCAAACTAGAGTAGTATTGAAAAAGATTGATGATATAGAAGGGTCGGATTATATAAATGCCGATTTCGTAAACGGTGGCCTTAAACAAGACAAACGTTTTATCTGTGCACAAGGACCAACACAGAAAACTGTTCCGGATTTTTGGCGTATGATCTATGAACAACAGTGTTGGTATGTATGATTCTGATGATGATGATGATTGAGATGATGGCGAATCTATATCGTTGAATTATTAATAATTTGATTTATATTGATCATCATTCGATTTATTTTTTGCTTTTCATTTTTTCGATTAGCATAATTGTCATGCTGACCGGCATTGAAGAACAAGGCCGAATAAAATGTGCACAATATTGGAATGATGAAGATGGCGAACAGCCATTATCGTTTCCGGATGCATTTCCATCTAGTCATTTTCATGTATCCACTATATTTCGTCGTGAATATTCTGATTATGTTATTCGAAGATTTAGTTTGAAAAATACGAAAACCGAAGAATGCCGTGATATACTACATTTTCATTTTGTTGCATGGAAAGATTTTCTAGCACCAGATCAACCATCATGGTTATTACGTTTCATTAAACGTGTTAATGAACATTATTGTAATGATCGTGGCCCTATCGTTGTACATTGTTCAGCCGGTGTTGGCCGTACCGGAACATTCATTGCAATCGATTCGTTGATTAGTCAGATTGATGATGGTGCCCAAGAGATTAATGTATTTGATTGTGTATCTAGGCTTCGTTATCAACGTAATTTTCTAGTACAATCACTTCGACAATATATTTTTGTATATCGTGCCATAATGGAATATGTTGAATTTGGTGATACAGAAATTGAAGCCGGACATATACGTGATCATTATAAACAATTAAAAGAACAGAAAACCGAATCTGGCAATGGTGTGTTCAGTGAATTTGAGGTAATTAATTTTATTTGATTTGATGACTTGCATCTTTGATGTTATTTTTTAACAAAAAAAAATTCTGATTTTTTGTTCATTTCAAAAAACAAATAGAAATTGAACGAAGTATTTGAGGAACCAAAATCCTGTGTAGTAGGCCATCTGGAAACGAATAAACTTAAAAATCGTTATTCATTTATTATTCCATGTAAGTTTTTAATTATAAATGAGAAGTGTAAATAGAATCTACGATGATGATGATGATGATGATTTTTTTTCAGATGATATCAACAGAGTGATATTGAATCCATCACAAGATACTTGCTATATCAATGCTTCGTTTATTCAGGTAATAAAAATGATTAATGATGTTCAAGTATTTATCTATTTTTATTCTAAATTCTTCTTCTATTTTTGAAGGGCTATGATCATACACTTTCGTTTATTGTTGCACAAGATCCACTTGAACATACTGTCAATGAATTCTGGTGGATGATTGCTGAACATGCTGTTACGACAATGGTCATGTTGGCCGAACTTGGTGATGGCCAAAATAAATGTCATCAATATTGGCCAGCATCAGTGGATACAACATTTGATTGCGATTTTGTTAAAGTAAAATTGATTGAAGAAGAAATGTTTCAATATTATGTTAAACGTGTATTCCATGTTACTAAAAAGAAGGTTTGTATTTTTTTTTTTTTTTTTCATTGTTGATTGACTAACTAACTAACTAGAAATAGAGAGAGAGATAGATAGAAAGAAAACAAAACTTGTCGAACATTTATTTTCACTTTTCACTTCACCTTCTGGCTATTTCCTGTACTTAATGACATACACTAACAATGATGACAATGACATTTTTAAATTGTTAGCACAAAAAAGTCATAACCATTTGTCGTTAGGGATAATGATCCCCATATTGTGTTCATTCGTTATGTTACCCGGGACAATGATAAATAAGATCAAAATTTTTTTTTTTTTGACTTTTGATCCATTATTATAGAACATATCAAATAGCGAATGAAAGATGTGATTGAAAATAAATCTTTTCTATATTCTATCCAGTAGATGAGAAGAGAAAAGAAACGTTTTGACGTTACTAATCTAATTATTTATTTTTTTCTTTGTTTCTATCGTATGGTCTTATTATTATTTTTTTTTAACTTCAATATAGACTAATAAAAGCCATGTGGTGAACCAATATCAATTTTTTTCATGGAAATCCGGAGTTGTGGTACCCGAATCTACCAAATCATTAATCACATTGACCGATGCAATTTTGTTGGCCAATAACCCGAATAATAACAATAATAATAATAATAATGGTCCAGAAATTATCATCAATTGTTCTAAATATAATGGAAAATCACAATCAACGGCAACATCATCATCTTCACCCATTTTAGTTCATTGTAGTGGTGGTGGTGATCGATCGTCAGTATTTGTTTCATTCGCTAGTCTTGTACGACAATTACAGCTAGAGGAAAGAGTTGATGTATTTCAAACGGCAAGATATACAAAATCACAACGACAGTGTATGTTACAAACTATTGTAAGTAATATAATATATAATGATAACATAACATTATTATTATTCTACTATTTGCACAATTCAAAATAATTTGATTAGTGGGTGTAATTCCATTTTTTTCCAACTATTCATGCATATATATTAGAATATGATGCAAATCATTGCATTTCTCCATGCATATATTAAACACTAGAATGAATTGATGATTAATCATTTATTTCTATTCTTTTCTTTTCTATTTTTTTCATCTCTTTTTGTCTTATTTGTCCACAAATCATCATGATCTTCATTATATTCGGATCGTATCAACAATGAACAACAATTATCAGGCTCAATATGACTTTTTATATCGTTGTCTTATCGACTACATGGATTGTCATCACATTTGCAATAATAGTGATACGCAACTATGAATTCATGCTTATAAATTGTGTGTGTATTGGTGGTGGTGGTGGAACAAAAGGAAGAAAAAAAAATCGAATACGGAATTAATTTAAAGAATCTTATTCACCACTAATTAAGAAGAATTTTTGCATCGAAAAAAAAGAAGAAAAAATGAACAACAATAAATAATAATGAGAATGTTGCCTTTTTCTCATTATATTAATATTTTTTTTCCACCAATTCCAGATGTTATCGTTGTCATTGTTGTTGTTAATATTAATATTTGTAAATGTTGAATCCGGAATCATTGCCCGTACTTCTTTGTAAAAGAAAACAAAAATCCCCTTGCATCTTTCATTATCATCATCATTTAAATTAAGACTTGTTTTCATTTTTTTTTTTTGATTTAAAATTTTTTTCATTGTTCAAATGGATATATAGCAAAAATAAGAATTAATTTTGTATCTTTTTTTTCTTTTCGGGGGCTAGTATCATCATCATATTGATAAATATGGGTCCATAAGGGTTTCTGTAACATTTATTTATCTGTATTTTTAGGAATTTTTTCCAAATTTTTTTTTAAAAAAGATTATTGATTAAATACTTTTATGATTTGCAAACAGAATTTTTCGAATGAAAATTGTTTGTAGCTGTCAGTTTCCGTGTTTTCCGGTATATTAAAACACGTGTGTTATTAAACAACGAACACATTGAAAAAAATGGGGAAAAAAGTCTATGTAAGCCACGCATTTTTTTTTACCAATATTTCAATTCGATTTAACTGTTACTGTACAAAATTTGCCCTTTTTTCCCGGTAGGATTTTTTTCAGTGTTACTGTACAAAGTTTGCCCTCTTTTCCCGGTAGGATTTTTTTCAATGCAGCTAAAACCATTTTTATTTATCAATTCGAAAATAATGTCATAATAGAATTCACTAATAGATGGCGATAGTACAGTTTATATAATGTATATTTCGACAGTAAATGGCATCAATGTTAAAATAGTACACTCAGATGACTTGCAAAAGGTGTTTTTAAGTTTCAAACTTATTTGATTTTTTTTAACGATTATATATTGTTTGTATTTGTCACTTTCCATTTAAGAAATCGAAACATTGGACATCACCATCAGAAATGTCGGATGACGATTCAAATTCAAATTCAAATAATAAACCGGTTCCAAAACCGAATACATCTCGTAATTCAAATATAGCAACATTGTCATCAATCAGAGATGATAGTGATCCTGGTGGTCAGGCATTTTATGCCGGTGGTTCTGAACATTCTGGTCAACAAGTATTAGGACCACAAAAATCTAATCGTGATCCAAATAATATTGTTTCGGAAATGTTTAAACAAGCACGTGAACACGCCATTTCGGAAGAAGAATTGAATGCTAGTAAAAAACCGAATAAATCAACATTCAGTGGTATTGGTGCTACACTTGGATCAGCTACTGAAATTTCTCGTAGAATTTTTGGTGGTCCATCATCATCATCTGCTCATCATTCAGACGATTCAAGTGACTCGGATCGAGATACTACATTGAAATTATGGCATGATGGATTCAGCATTGATGATGGTCCGCTTCGATCATATCAGGATCCATCAAATGCCGAATTTTTAGCATCAATCCGTAGTGGACAAATTCCTCGTGAATTATCACGAGGAAGCAGATCTGAAGTTCATCTAAAAATGGAAGATCATCGTACTGAAGAATATCAAGCACCACCGAAAAAACCAGCTAAACCATTTACAGGTGAAGGTCAACGTTTAGGAACACCGGCAAGTGAAATTATATCACAAGTTGGCCAACTTGTATCAACAGATCCAGCTTCTAGAGAACAAGCCTTAGAATCGGCCAATGCTTATCTACAATTTGATAGTGCACAGCCACATACACGAGTCCAAATTAGATTAGCTGATGGATCAAGGTATGATTCAATTTTTTTCACCAAATTATTATTAAAATAAATATTTTTTTACAAAAAAAAACAAAAACATCAACAGGCTTGTTCCACAGATTAATATCGATCGTCGCATATCAGATTTACGACAATATATTTGTTTAGCACGACCAGAATATGGTGCATCACAATTCATATTGATGACAACTTTTCCAAATAAAGTTATTGATGATGAATCAATTACAATCAAAGATGGTGGTCTATCCAATGCATCAGTGGTTCAATGTATCAAAAATGATGATTGAATTTCTTACGAGATAGCGAGAAAACGGCGATGATGATACACGAAATGTGATTGATTTTTTTTCACACACACACACAAGAATATGAGAAAAACATTTTTTTATTTTAATTACAAACACAAACGCAAAAAAAAATTCATTTAATACAAACAAACAGACATGTTTTACAAAATATGAAATGAAATAAAGAAAAAAAATGTTCATGTACAATTAACGTTGTTGTTGTTGTCGTTGTCGTTTTTTTTTTTTTTTGGTTTTGCTTGTTTATCACACACGAGTTCTGGTTTTTTTTTTGTTGTTGTTTGAAAATTTGTATAAATAAAGATAAAAAAAATGATGATGGTAACAAATATGAAATAATAATAAAGGCAGGAAATAAAAAAAAAACAAAAAAAAAAAAAAAAAAAATAACAACAACAACAACAACAACAATAACAGAAAAAATTGTGAAATCAAAGATTTATCACACAGTAGAATTAATCGCCAAGATTATTATGTACAATACAAAACATCGGCAACAATAATAAAGAAATTTTTTAAAGAAAAAAGGAAATTGAATTTGTGCGAGAGTAATGGTAGAGATCGAATGAATTATTATTGTTGTTGTTGTTGTTGTTTTGGTTTAATTAATTTTTTGTTTTCTTGTTATCACTGGGTTGATTTTTCCAAATCATCATCATCATTTGTATCCCTAGAATATGAACTACAACAACAATAACTATATATATGATATATTCGAAGTTTTTTGTTTGTTTTATAAAAAAATTTTTGGATACGATTGCATTCGTGATTATACCATTCATTCATATTTGGAAATATACGCATTCAAACGACAGGATATTAAAAAAAAAGACAATTTGGATTCGATGGACAAACACATGAGGACAAATAACGATGGAAATGGATGATATTATTGTGGATGATACAAATATAGACACGTATAAAGTAGTAAAGGACATATTATCAGATCAGGTTGTAGGTACGGTGTTTTTGTTTTTTTTTTTTGGTCAATCAATCAATGTATGTGTATATAGAATCATCAATGAAAGGAATGAAAGATGATGAATGATTTAAGAGAATGGAGAAAAAAAAAGATTGAAAGAAAAATATAAAAAAAAAAAATCAAAATGGACATGAACTAATTAATTTAGAGGAACACTAAGATAGATAGAAAGGATAGAAGATTGGATGGAGAGAAAAAAAAGAGAATACTCACTTTCGAAAAAATGATAATGAAAAACGTGATTTTGGTTCAGGCAATGCTGCCATTAACATTGGCATTTGATTTTTATGTGTAATATGTATCTTTGAGAGAGAGAGAGAGAGAGAGAGAGAGAGAGAAAAAATGGATTGAATTCCTATTCGATCATAAATTGTTGATTCAAGTACATACAGTACAAGGAGGCTGTAGCCATGGTTCACCATCGATTTGCATTGGAAAACGTTTTCGTGTTCTAAATTATAAAACAAAAAAAAAAAAAAATAGAATGAGATTAGATTAATAATTTTGTCCAAATTAATTAATTAATTATAAACATGAATGATACTAATGATGATATTACCTTATCACAACACTGCTACATTGTGCTAAACGACGACCAGAAGCACGAAGACCAGCTTTTACTTGTCCCATATGCATACAATTCTCAAGGCCAATCACTTCAATGATTCTATCACCAATATCTTGTACAGCATTGGCTAAATCTTTATTGATACTGGCCGAACTTTCACCATAACCAGATATGCTTGAATTGGATCCTTGAAATAATCAATATAAATAGAATCAATGTATATATATAAAAAATTCGTTAATATACAATAAATGAATTGGTTGACTTGTTCGATATATAATGTGGAGAAAAAAAAATTGTACGCTTACTTCGGTGATAAATACCATAGGATTTTATCTTTGATCTTTTCGTTGATTGTTGTTGTTTGTTTCTTCTGACATTTTCACCCCAAAGATTAGAGCCACCATAAATGGATGGTATATTAAGTACGGCAATTCCCTGTAATGAAGGGCCATTTTTCAAGTCCAATTGAAGACCATCACACTGTGTGTGTTTGTGTGCGTATGGGTAAATTGCACATGTACATGAATAAATTTCGATCGAATTAATGGATGAAAATAAAAAATAGCAGAAAAAAACCGTAAATATTTTATCGAAGAGAGAGAGAGAGAGAAGGAAAGAGATAGACCATTGACCATTTTCAAAAAAAAACTAACCATTATTTCTACATCTTCATGAAGATTTTTGCAAGTAGCAAAAAAAGTTTCTGATGTTGCAAATTCAAAATACCACATTTTATTCTTCATACGGCTATTGAATTTTTCTGGATGTTTTTCACGTTCCAAATGAAATTTAAATGCAATCGATGCATCCTTCATATTATTATTATTATTATTATATAAATTATAAATGAAAAAAAAATACAACGATAGTGATCATTGATCAAAGATTCAGATATGAATAATGTAACAATACACACAAACAAAAAAACACATACCACACCGATACTGAAATAATTATTAAATATATTACTAGGTATTGGATCACCTTTTTCACCACTTGATTCATTACTACTGATATCGATTTTCCAACGATCCAACATTACTGTACTGGATGTTTCAACTTTTTTCATTATTTTATTCAGGCTTTCATTATCATATCCAGGTCCCCAACGTAAACAACGTGCTAGATCATTACCAGTACCAAGCGGTAGTATAGCTATAGGTGGAATGGATGTAAAATTCATTTTATCGATTGTATCTAGTATCCAACCAACAGTACCATCACCACCACAACATAATACACGAATATTTGATACTTCTTTACAAAAACTTAATGCTTGATATGGTCCTTTGATTGCAATATTATAAACTTGTCGTGGATTCAATAAATATTGGAATTTACGTAATATTCTGTAAGTGAGAAAAAAAAACAATAAAATCACACAGTTTCACACATGCAACATACCGTGTTCCTTGTCTACCACCACTTTTCGGATTAATCAATACAATTAATGGATGTTGGCCCAATAAAGGCGTGATTTGAAATGAAATGGGACTCATCTAATTGTATTGTATGAACATGGAAGTCATTAGTTAGTTTTTTTGGGGATGAACAAAAATAGCAAAAAAAAAAACAAACTTACATTCTCCTGTTGTTGTTTATTACGTGCATTATTATCCGATGCTAACAATGGTAAAATTGTCATTTCGATTGGTACACTATGTGTTTCAGATATTGGTGTACGATGTTTATTTCGTTCACTACCACCACCACCACGTTCACTATTAACACTACGTTGTCGTTCCTTGTGGAAAAAAAATAAAGAAAATTGAAATTGCATCATTATTATTGTTGGGCCAACAATGATAATAAAACAAAAAACTAAATAAATGACAGAACAAAAATACAAATAATTAAACACATTGCCGGGTAGAAAATGAAGAATATAAATTCCGTTTCAAACAACAACAACAACAACAACAACAATTATACGATTCGAAACATGACATAGCAAAAAGAACAAGATGATAACATTGATAATAATAAAAAGTTACTACTTCATTGACAAATTATTCCGAAAAAAATGAATGAATGAATGAACAGATATAAAATTCAAATTGATTCGGCAACTGACTTTGCTGATGTTCTGTCATCATCGTCATATAGTTATTTTTTAAATATATTTGAATCCACAAAATAAACTGAACAAAACAAAACAGGAAAAAAATTCCAAAACACATCACATCACTATTACAGAATATTACAGAATATTATTTTTGTGATGTTTTCATGTAACAAAAAACAAAAAAATAAAAGTTACAATCTAAAAATTCCAATGAAACTGAAATGAAAAAAAACACTAAAAAAAATTCTACATTTGGCATTTTTTTTCTCTTGTTTTGTTTTTTTTTTTGTGATTTGATTTGACTTGTTTACATGAATGTGTGTGTGTGTGTGTGTGTATTTTTATGTTTTTTTTTCTTTTTGTTCATTATATGGCCACATACATACCAAAAATTCTTTGCCGGAGAACATTTATGTGTATATGGTATGTATGATATAATAAAAAAAACTTACCAAAACAATAGGCACAATTGAAACTGGTGCCAATATATGATCACGATGTACACCAAGATTACATTCTGGTGGTAATTGGGAAGCACAATGATTATGTAGCTAAGATTATGTTGTGTATACAAGAATTCATGAATAGAATAATAATAATGAAAAAAAAATAATAATAAACAGATTGAAATTAATAATATCAAATATAATATAATTACCGTCATTTGACACCAACGGCAGTGTAGACCGGTTATACCATTATATGATTTTACTGGTTTTCTACATTTATTACATTTTCCCGTACAATTGCCTTCGGTCCAATGATGTAAAAATACCTATATTCGCATGTATTCGTGTGTGTGTGTGTATGTTTTTCATTATTTGATTTTCAACAATAACCATGTTAACAATTGAATAAATAAACAAGAAAATGAAATTTTTTTTATTATTATTATTATCATGAAAAATGATTTCATCAATGATTGAAAATTGCAAAAATAATTCACCTGAGATGTTTTCTTTGATTTTGAATAGGTACTAATACAGGATGCAGGCGCTCGTTGTACACATCGTTCATGAACGGTATATTTGCAAACTGTTAGAATAACAACAACAACAACAACGAAAAAAAATTCAATAGAAAAATATAATTAGAATTTTATAGCAAAATAAAAATATTTCATTTGATTCATATGTGGAGGCCGATAAGTTGATGGGAATTCCGTTGAAACTTTTTCTTTTTCTCTCTCATTTTTTTTGATATTTTTAGCAATAATTTTCATCATCATTACATTGCTACCTATATAAAAAAAATTTATTATTCATCATCATATATACATTCATTCTGAAAATGTCAAATGTATAATCAATCAAATTTTTACACAAAAACAAACTTATTCCATCGAACAATGATGGTCAATGATCTAATCAGATTGATTTGAACAAAAAAAAAAAAAAACAACTGAGCCAATTATTCTAGGCCCCCAAAACAATAACAACAACAACAAATAAAAAAGTAAAAGTAAGTAAGAAAAAAAATCAGGCCCAGATTTAATTTGAAATATATATAATGAAGTGGGCAGTAAAAAACCAAAAATATAGAAAACAACAACAACAACAACAAGAAAAAAAAACTTACAAACACAGCATAGACCTTTTTTACCAAGGCCAACCAACATATTGAGACAAAGATTACAATAGGCAGGCCTATTGAAATGTTTCAATCGCCATACGTGATTGCCATCATCTTTGACATTTTGCTTGAAAAAAAAGAAAGAGAAAAATTTTCAAAAAAAAAAAAAAAAATCAAAATCAAAACAAAACAAAAAAAAATAACAACAAAGCATACTATTATAATAATATATATAAAGAGGCAATGGATAAAAAAATAGGGAAACCGAGGCGAAAAGAAAAATAAATAAACAAGGACCAAAACGAATAAAACGAATAAAAAAAATGTTCCAAATACCGAATCAAGTCCCAAAAGAACTAAAAGCGGAATGGTTGTCAGTCCACCACGTTTCCATTCTTCCAATGAAACTGTTCCATCAGCATCGTAATCAATTTCGATCATCATTTCTTGAAGAATCTGTGTGTAAAGAAGAAGAAAAAAACATCAAAATCAGTTATTTCTTTTTCATCATCATCATCATCATCATCATCATTGAAGATCGAATGATTCTTTTCAATTTGGATTTTTTTTTTTCAATCGAACTTTATTCTTAAAGAAAAAAAAATTACATCAATTCTAATTCAGAGACCTATATGTGTCTGTGTGCATGCAACCGCTGAATATAACAACAACAACAACAACAACAACAAAAAATTGAATGCAGTGAAGCAAACATTTTAAATGATGACGATGATGATGATCGATAAAAAGAAATTCTAATCCAAGAAAAAAAGAAAGAAAAATTCCTATCATCATTTGTGTGTTTGTATAGTGTGTGTGTGTGTCGTTATTTTTATTTTTCTACTTTCAAAAAAATCCAACTTACGGGCTTTAATTCTGAAACATCCCAGCCAAGATATTCGGCCACTGTCATCATCTGGTCAACGATACAATCCATTTCCTTTTATTTTTTTTTTTTTTTTTTTGGCGATTGAAAATAAATAACAAAACAAACAAAAAAAAATTTGCATTAAAAAGATTATTGCAAAATGTATACGTGAATATAGTCATGTATATTACGTGATATCAAATGTTATACCTAATATTTATACTTACATTACTATCAAGATATCCATTTCCATCCGTATCATAAAGACGAAAAATGACTGATTAATGATCCATAAATGTGTAGATGGAAAGAAAAGAATCGAAAGAAAAAAAAATTTTTCAAATTCATCAAATTCAAAATAAAAAAAGAAAAGAAAAAAAAAAGAAAAACGAGATAGACGCATTTGAAAATAAATTCCAATTGACATACATTCCAATTTATCTTCTGGTCTTCCAGCTTCAAGCAATGATAGATAACAAACAACATCTTTAAGTGGTACCCATAATGAATGGACATCGATATGTGAACTTGTTTTCCTTGAAATTGGTTTTGAAATTTCTATATTTTTTTTTTGGATGAGAAAAAAAATTTTGTCAAGAATTTTGAAATAATGATATGAAAATATTGAAAATAATTCACAAAAGAAAAATTCACAGAGAGAGAGATAGAGAGAGAGAGAGAAAATGAAAAGAATCCAAAGGATTTTATGGATCAATGATTCTGTATAAAATTTTTTTCTCTTTTCTTTGCATTTCTCTCATCGTTTTGTTGATGCAAAATGAAATTCTGTATGATTCCATTTTGCTGAATAAACATCACGGAAATTCGTTTGTATGTGTGCAACAAGAAATGGAGAATTCAGAAAAAAAATCTACAAATTCATCAGCTATCTGAGATTGGTATTGATAATAGCAAAAAAAAAAAAAAAAAAATACAAAAGAGAAACCTCATTATTATCATTCATGATTACATAATTCAAAAAAAAAATAATGATGATGATGATTCTATATTCTAATAATATTCATTCGAAATGTATACATAGGATGAATCACAGAAAAGCAAAACAAAACGAAAAAAACCACAGGCTGTGTGTGTGTGTGTGTGTGTGTGAACATCCGAAATATGATAATGGAAAAATAATAATGATTTTGATGATTGTTGTTGGTAATAATAATAATAAAAAAAAGGTTTAGAAAATCAACAACAACGATAATAATGGCAATTTCGTAATTCTAATTTGTTTTTTTTTTTTTTTTTTGATAATAATTATCATTTGTCTGGTTGGTTGGCAATATATCATCGTAGAGAATGAGAGAGAAAAATTCATTGTAATCTCATTTTGTTGAACTGAATTGTTTTATGATTGCGACACACACACACACATCAATCAATCAATCAATCACTTTCATCACTTTTTTTTTTTTTTTTGGTTTATTATTATCATAATTCATTTATTTATCTATCTTGATTTTCAATATTCAATAATAATGGTGGTTTTTTTTATGGCAGCCGCTTCAACAACCACCGCATTTATATTGAATATAATGACGATGATGAATGCTGATGAATGCTTCAGGGTTTTGCAATTCTGGTTAAAAAAAAAAGCCATCCAATATCATCATCATCATCATCATCAATTTATATTTATGACACAATATATTTAACTACGTAAACAAGAGAAAAAAAAACAAAGAAAAAAATTAATTAACTTTTTTTTTTCTTGCTTCTGTTTTCATACCATACAATATCACATAACAACACACACACACACAGATGGAGTTATTATGATGGCCATATGTTGGTCCAGAATTAAGTGTTTAAAAACCAGAATAAGGGGGAAAAATAGAAATTTCCAGTTTCAAAGAAATTATTATGACCACACACACACACACATTTGAGAATCAGATTGATGGGAATGGAATACAACAAACAAACAAGAATGTAGAAAAAAAAATCCAAAAATTTTTTTTGTTGTTACTGGAAAAATATATAAATAACTAAAAAAAACAAAACAATCCAGTTTCTGTTTTCTTTTCTCTCCGTTATTGTCATCATCATCATCATCATTCAATCTCTGTGTATATAGCGTTTTTTTTTGCTGTGTGTGTGTGTGTAAAGTTTGTCATTATTCAGCATGTGTTGTTGGTTGGTTGGTTGTTTGGTTTTGTAGAGATTCAACCAACCAACCAACACACATGCTGATATTTGAGAAGTGAAGAGAAAAAAAAATTGAAAAAAAACCAAAGAAAGTAAAAAAAAAAGCTTTTTCAATGTTTTCTCAAATGTCAAACGAGAGTTTGTCCATCATCATGTTCAAAACCGAAAAAAAAAAATATTAAAATAGTAGCTTGTTAAGATGATGTTGTTGTTGTTGGTTGGTTGGTTGGTTTTGTCTACTCAACCGTTGACTATTATAGAAGAAAAAAAATACGGATGATGATGAGAATCAAGAATTTCAAATTATTCAATTTTTTTTCCAAAGCTTTCTATTCAAAGATTTTTTTCTTTTCATTCACATTCTAATTCTTTCTCATCATTTCCTTCGAAAAAAAACATGTGATTTTTCTTTCTGTCATTCACATTCTGGCTATATGCATGAGTACAGAAATTGGTTTTTTTTCTATATATTTATAGAAAAAAAAACTTTGACATATAAAAAAATCGAAAAAACTTACGTGCAATATTAACAAGTAATGAATTATTAGATTTTTTTGATGAATTTCTTGATATTTGACTATGATTTGGTGATGATTCAAATGATTTTTGTTCCCGTAAATGATGATGATTCTGTTGTTGTTGTTGATGATGATGAGTAAATGTAACTGGATGGACGGATGCACTACCAGCACGAGATCGTATTGATTGTCCAATAATATCTAAATGTTGATGTTGTTGTTGTTGTTGTTGTTGCTGTTGTTGGAAATCGATAATATTATTCCGATTCACATTGGTTGATGGATGTGATAAATTATGTAATCGTTCTGTAATTGAATATAATTTTTCGGCCAATATTCCTGAACAATATTTTGTTGTTGTTGATAATGAATTTCGATTTGTTGTTGAATTATTATTATTACTAGTGTTATTATTATTCACATGAAATACAATCGAATCACGAGTTAATTCAGGTAATGATCCACTTGTTTTATTTTTTTGTGATTGTTTTTGTTGTTGTTGCTGCTGTTGCTGTTGTTGCTGTTGTTGTTGTCGTTGATAATGTTGTTGTTGTTGCTGTTTTTTCATCGTTTGATTCGGTGAAATTGTTATTGGTGTTGCTGTCGAAATAGCTGATGATTGTAATCTGGATTCTTCGGGATCCGAATTCGAAGGCGTTGTATTTAAATTAATTTTTTGATTTTGTCCCGATATTGATGTTGATATGTTTCCGCAGCCACCACCACCACCACCACCACCGCTGCTGCTGCTTCCACCGATACCACCTAAACTAGTAAAATTAAATTTTGCCTGAATTGAATGTATGGCACCGGAAATGGCACTATTTGATTGTGAAAAAATTCCACCACTAATCAAAGAATGATGATGATGATGTGATGTTGTTGTTGTTTCGTTTGTTTGACGTTGTTGTTGTTCTATGGAAGTTGTTGCCCATGATGATGTTTGATGATGATGACGATCATCATGATGATGATCATTATTATGTTCAGGTTTTTTTACAAACGATAAAAATAACCGCTGTATTAGATCCAATGAAAGTTCATTTTCCAAATAAATGCTCATGAATGTTTTAAAGCCTTCCAAATCGATATCCTATAACGGTTGAAGGCATCCATTGGCAAACACATGGAGGAAAAAAAATTCAAATAAAATTAGTAAACAAACAAACAAACAGAAAAAAATATTGAATTTTCTTCTTTCATCAAATATTTACTCCTTCAGGATGATAACGACTAAGTGCACCAATATCGGATTTGAATTCACATTCCAAAATATCTGTAACTTTTTTATTCGAATCTAGAGAATGGAAAGATAAATTGAAAGAATATATTGGATTCATTAGTTTGTTTGTTTGATTTGCAAAAAAAAATCAATTCATTAGCTGAAAAAACAAAAAAAAAAAGAAGAGAAAATTAATTGAAATTAGCTGCTGTTGTTAGTTTGTTCTTTTCAAATTATTTGATTTGTTTGTATGTCAACAAATTTGAAATCCGATTTATGAAACAGACAAACAGACAAATTGGATGACATGAATGAATATTCAAAAGATTCAGGTTATGTTATGTTTTTTTGGATCCATCACTTTTTTTTCTGCCTGTAAACACAGAATATTCTGAAGAATTATTTCTCTCTCACAACACAAACATACATGTCAAACATTTTAGGAAGAATCATGCTTCATTTTTTTTCCTGATCCAACAACAACAACAGAATCACGAATAAAAATTCGAATTGGAAACAGCAACAACAAAAGGGTAAAAATAGAGAAGACAAAAATTCCACAGAAATTTTTTTTTTTTTCATTCGAAAATTTCGCTGCTGTTGCCTGTTTGATCGAACCACCAATCATATATCAAACACACACACACACATATTTTCACGAATTTTTCGTTTCATTACGTTGATCCAAACAATGAAACAAATTATAGGCGTTATGTTGTTATTACAGGTGTTGTTATTATATGCATAATTTGAAAATTTTAAAAATTTTAAAATAAATTAACATTTTAAAAAATGATAAATTAACAAATGTACTACCACTTTTTTCTTCTTTCAATTGGAATGTTTACACACAGATGATGATGATGATGATGATGATGATGAAAGTCACAATTATATTAATTGGATTTTTTTTTGTTTGTTTAATAAAAAAAAAAAAATTTTTGTCTACATTTTTTTTGGATTATGATGATGTAGAAACGTGTGTGTTTTTAATCATCATCATTGTCTCATTGGACATGAAAAGGTGTAAATGCGTCATTCAAAAATGACGGAGCCATTAAAAATTTCTGCTACTGTCATCATCATCATCATCATCATCATTCAAACATTCAAACATTTGACATATATGTGAAATGTTTGTTTAATTATATCCACTATATATTGTAATCAATCATTGAAAATTCTAAAGGTCAAACACACTTTAATAGCCAGGAACAAAAAAAAAGAAAATTCAATATTAAAATTCAGTTCATGATCATAAAGAATTGTAAAAGACGAAAACAAAGGATTACACACACACACACACACACACACAATGAGCAAAAACTTTTTTTCTTTTCTTTTCTTTTCATTTTGGAACACAATAATCATGGAATATCGAAAAAAAAGACGAACAACAACAACAACAACAACAACAAGTCCAAATGTTTTCATCATTGAATTAAATTTTGAATTGAATTCCACATATTATACGCTGAAATTTTATGTCTCTCTCTTACTCTTTCTAAGACTTTCTTACATAATCAGCAACATTCTTTCAGGTCTTAATAGGAATTTTCTGTTTTTTTTTTTCTTCATTCTATTTATTGACAACAACATAAAACTTGAACACCAAAAAGAATTTATCTTTCTTCATTCATTTTTCAAAACAAAATTAAAGAAAAAAAAACTTTTCTTATATATACCAAATATTAAAGAATGGAAAAAAAATTTTTATTAATGCTGCTGCTGCTGCTGCTGCTTCTGTTGTTGTTGTTGTTGTTGTTGTTACCATTTTTGTTTTTGTTTATAATATAATCTTCTTATCAACGAATAGAATAATAATAATATATATTGTTTCTGGTCAATAATATTTGGATACTGGCCACCATTTTTCCAAGCCTCCCTCCCCCCCAATAACCTAATTTTCCCTTCATGTGTGTGTGTGTGTCTGTGTTTAATTCTAATTTTTTCCATCGTATGTTTGCTTGCATGCCTGTCTAATATGTGTCTATTTGATTTAATCAAATTGATAATGAAATTCAATACCGATCATCAACAATTAATTGTCATATATAAAAAAAAACACATTGCTTACATTTAATAATAATAGACAAGCTATATACTGTATTTTTGATCGTTTTGATTGTCGTTGATATTTGGTTACTTTTTTATTATCTTAATCTTAGTCTTTTTTTTTATTTCAAGAATTATTTCGTTGTCAACGATCGTCTTATTTTTTTTTCTTCGAAGAAAAAAAAGCGAATTTGATAAAAGCGAGAGATTTATTTTCAAATACACACACACACACACACACACACACAGAGAGAGAGAGAGAGATGGTTGAAAAATGAAGACAACATAATGATGATGATGAAAAATAATAATAAAAAAAATACAGTTAAAAAAGAAGAAAAAAAACTTTGGAAATAGAAACCTAGATACTGTTGTTGTTGTTGTTGTCGCTGTTGTTTTTTTTTATCGACAAAAAAAAAGAATCGTGAAATTCTAGGAATATAAAATTGTCGGTGGAAAAATAAAAATATAAATATATATAAAAAAAACAATAATAAAAAAAAGCAAGATAGAATGATGTTTAATGTGTGTTTTATTATTATGCAATGATTCATGATTCTGGGTGCGTGCGGGTGCGGGTGTGTGTCAATACAAAAATTTTTTTTTATCATCATCATCATCAGTAGCAAAACAAAAATCGGTAACAAGAATAATAATAATAAAAAAAAAATCTAATAGGATATGATTCATGAATCTCATGAATGAATGATGAACAAGAAAGTCAAGAATTCATGAAGAAAAGTTTCATCATCATTTATTATTATTGAATCAAGCAAGAATATTCCTGCGTTTTTTTCTGCTCAGTGTAGCCAGTGTATTAAATAATATATTCAAATGGATTGATTGATTGATTGATTGATTAACTGATAAAATCTTATATAGATTCATATCAGCGACAAAATTAATAATAATAAAAACCCTTTGAAAATGAAAAGTTTTTCTAAAAAAAAAAAAAATTACAGTCAACAAAAAAAAATGTCATCCGATTTCAGTTGATGATCAATTCAATCTGTATCTCTCACAGTTTCTTCATTTCCAAATCAGGACAAATTAATAATACATTTCAAAAATGAAATTCTACTATTGCCTCTCTCGATTGACATTATTATTATTATTATTAAATGAAAAGTCAAGTGATTATTATTCAATGACCTAAGAGGCAATACGCCCTTATCTAAAAATCAAGAGAGAGTTAGAGAGAGAAAACTTTTTAAACATTGTGTCTGGTATTTTCTTTTTTTTCTGACATATTTAGATCATATGAACAAATGACAAAAAAAACAAACAGAAAAAAAACTGTCATCAATGTTGACATGTACCATGCAAACACATACACACAGACACAGACACACAATGATGAGATTCAATTGAATATTGATCAAGTGAAAAAAAATAAATAAATAAAATACATACATTGAATATATTCCTGTAGGGTTTCAAATTCACTTGGTGACAATTTTTCCCATTTAAGTTGTGTTGTATTTTCCGGTAATAATGATGATGTTGCTGTATCTTTTTCAATAAGATCACCACCATCACCATTATTGATAGCGGCTGCAGTAGTGGTAAGAATGCCACCACCACCACCACCACCACCGACAGTACCACCACTATCCGATAATGTTGATGTTGGTTCAGGAATATAAAATTTTTGTTTTTGTTTATTTTTCTTTTTCTTTTTCTTATTTTTATTTGGTTTATGGTGTTTTCCATCATCATCATGATGTTGTTGTTGTTGTTGTTGTTGACTTTTTTGACAATTGGAACGACAACAATTTTCATTTCTATTTCTATTCATACAAGGACTATGAAAACGATCAGTGAATAAATTCCATGTTGAACGAAACATTGAATAACGATTTGAATTTGTAGATTTTGTTGATGTTGATGTTGATTGTTGTTGTTGTTGGTCTGGTGGCTGGTCTGGTTGTTCTTGTTGTATAGAACAATAGATAAGATCAGGATGATGATCCCGATTATCATCTGGAATATTTCGTATTTCATCATCATAATCATCATTATTATTATTTTGATCTATTGGTTCTTGTTGATCATCATCATCATTATCATTAATATCCATTTTTTGATGACAACGACGACGACGATGATGACGACGACGATGATGTTGATGTTGATGTTGATGTTGACTACTACCGGTCACCATTGATTCACCTTCCATCGATGGCGATGATAATGGTAATGAATTTGTTGTTGTCGTTGTTGATGTTGATGTTGTTGTTGATGATGATGATAATGATGATAATGATGATGATGATAATCGTCTTTGATGTTGTTGTAATAATGTTGTTGATGATTGCTGTACATTATCATTATGATGATGTTTGACATCGGTTGTTTTATATATATTTGATTTCTAATCAATAGAATTCCAAAATAAATTTGAATTTTGGTCATTTTTTTTTCTACAAACAAACATACTTACATTGGTCATAAGTTAATGAATCGAATCGAATGGATTTTTGAATCCAAAAATAAAAAAAAACAGCAAACAGCAACAAACAAGTTGTAAGGCAACTTTTTTTCCGGTTTTTTTTATATATATGAAAATAAAATGAAAGAAAAAAATTTTTTTATTGAAATTTTTACAACCAGATATAACAAAAAAAGAAGCAAGAAAATTCCATTTTTTTTCTTATCACATCACATCCTACAAACAATTTGTCAACACATCCATAAAATACAACAAGCTTATCATCGAAAGAGAACGATACGCAAAAAAAAAAGATTATCATCATCATCATCATCATGATCGTTGGAACTGGAAAAAATTTGTGATCAGCTGCAATCTGCTTAATTGACTAATTTCTTTCACTTAAAAAAAAAGACAAGAAAGAATCGGAATTAAATTCCGAGCAGGAAAAAAATGGGACCATTTTTTTTTTTTTTTCTGTTTCTCCCTGTCCAATTTATTCGATCCATTGAATTCGAATGAATTCGTTCAATATTGAGAAACAAAACAAAAAAGTTTGTACTTAGGGGATAAAAAATAAAGTTGAATGCACCATAGATAGTGTTTAACACACACACACACACACATATGTTTTATATTCGTTAATTGAGGTTTTTTTTCGTCGTCTTCTTCATTCGGGATTCTCATATTCATATTCATATTTTTTTTTTGAATGTTTTGGGTGTATATTGAGAGAAAAAAAATTAGACATAGATCCATTATACAAAACCCAAATATGGAACTAGTAGTAGTAGTAGATTGTATCTATCGTTTTTTTTGTATCGTTATTAAACAAAATAAATAGGATAGCAATCCATTATCCAATCAATACATACATACACATGAAAAAAAAACCTAAAATGAGATTCATAGGATAATTTCTACACACACACACACACACACACACTAGATTCCAGAAATTCAATAAATACCGACCAAAAACCAATAAGCATCAATCAGTCAGTCAGCCAGCCAGCCAACCAGCAAGCCAGCAACAAACAACAATTCAAGCAGATTGTTGCCAAAAAAAAAAAAAATAACAACAAAACAGAATTACATTCTTCTTATTTCATAATAGCCTCCAGCTAATCCAGATAATAATAATAATATTATTATTTTTGGGGCCCATTTTTTTTTCTCACACCATACACATACAAAAAAAAATCCACCATTATCGTACAATACAATTTTTCTCTTTCTGTTTTGTTTTGTTTTGTTTGTTTATTCATTTCATTCGAATTCAAGAATCTTCTATCCAAATGTTTTTTTTTCTTCTTCTTCATTTTCATCTTCTTGTTTCTTCTCGGTAATAATATCATCATCATCATCATCATGTTATATAATTCAATATATATATAAGTGTGTGACCCGCTGTTTTGTTTTGTTCTGCATCCATTTTCACCATTTGTCGCCAAAATTATATCATTTCTCCATCTGATGATGATGATGATGATGATGATGATGGAATCCATTTCATCTTTCATGATTCTTCGGTTTCATGATATAAGAGAAAACAAAACAAAAAAAAATGCCAACAACTACTTTTCGTTGATTCACAGCGGAATATAAAAACAGAATAAAAAGAAAACCAACCAATGGAACCGACAAAGAATAAGAAACAAGAAAGAGAGAGAGAGAGAGAGAGAGAGAGAGAAAATGTCGCTGTTGCTACTGATTTGTTTTGGTTGCTCAATAGGGGTGATCGATTCGGTTTTGAATAACAATTCAAGCATTATTATAATGGAACTTTTCGCATTTTTTGTTTTTGTTTTTTGTTTGGAAATGTTCCATTGTAATATTACTCTCTCTCTCTCTATATATATATGTTTTTGGTATGAGAGAATATTTTTTTTTTTGCTGTAATAAATTAACATCATCATCATCATCATCATCATCATCGGTTTTGTTCAAATAAGGAATGTTTGATTCTGTATATATATATGGAGTATACAGAATCACCATTAGTAGTACGACTACTTTTATGATGATAGGAAAAAAAAGTTTAATAAAAAACAAAATGAAAATCAAAATTCTGTTATTACAAACGGTAACCAATTACCAATTACCAATTATATATTAAAAAGGAAATTTTCGTCCCCAATATATTTAAAAAAACATTTGGGCACACACACACACACACACAATTCAATTTGCAATATTTATGGTCAAATTAATAGTGAACATCACATAGTGTAACACAACAAAAAAAATGTCAGAAATGTCAATGAAAGAATAAATGTACAAAAAAAAAAAAAAAATACGAAAGACAGAAAAATTCAATTATTTTGCCATTAAGGGTGAAAGAATATTCTGTGTTTTTTGGAGAAAAAAGAAAAAAAATAATTTAAACTTGCTAATGAAATGATTGGAAAAAAAATAAACGGTCAGAACAAAACAAAAAAAAAATCCACAAGCAAATTGATTGAAAACAACATTTTCCATCGATGAGCAGCAGCATTCCATCGTATGCAATATCATCATGTGAATGTGAAAACATTTTTAACACACACAAAAAAAAAAAAAAAAAAATGTTTCGATGGAAACCAGACCGAAATCATTTTTTTTCTCTGCTTTCAACAATTTGAATAAGGTGATTTTGATCGTGATTTTTTTTTGTTGCAATGTTATGTTAATGGATATACATATAAAATGTGTGAATTTTTTTCACTTTTTTTTTGGCTTAATTTTGGCTTAATTTTACAGCATAAATAAATAAATAGATCACGCATTGATCATCATCATCATCGTCACGAGATCATGATCATGATCATGAATGTAAAAAAAAAAATGTGAAATCAATGTGTGTTTGTCTATGGAAATTGATTCACACAAATAATAAAACATCATCATTTATTTTTCATCATTACAACGGTATTATTAACAATTTCAATCTAATAATCTGGCTATTGAGATTTGTCAAAGTTTTTTTTTCATTTTTTTTGTGTCCATTCCATTAATGGCTATTTATTATTGAAAACTTTTCTTTTTTGGATTTTGGATATAATACAACGAGATTGAAAGAAAAAATAAGAATTTTTTAGCAATGAGGTAGTAAGTGAAAATAATGGACCAATCATTTCAAGCAATCAGGCAGAAAAAAAAACAAATCAATGATCATTGAATGTGATTGAGAAATGAACCAGAAATACAAGAAAAAAAAATAAATTCTTATCACATTGTAATTTCAAAAAAAAAAAAATTCTTATCACATTGTAAAAAAATGGAATTGTTAAAAAAACCAACTTCAACAAATTTCAAAAAATAAATGGAACAAATCAGAAAATCAGAAACAAAACAAAACCAGAAACACCAACAGCCATTTTTTTTCGATTTCCATAGAACGGAATAATGTTTCAGAATTTTTTTCTCTCTTCATTGTTTAGTTTGGGAAAATATTTGTAATTCAAACTTGGTATAGATTTTTTTTTTTTTGAAATATTTAAATTGTGTGTGTGTGTGTGTGTGCAGCAAGTGAGAGATAAATATACCAGAAAGAAACAAAACAAAACAAAACAAAACCAAACACGACGACAATATTCCATCAAATGGTACAGACACAAGAATGTGAAGAAGCAAGAAGAAGAACTAAAAATCGGATTCTATTCAGGAAGTAGTTCGTAGATGATGATGATGATGATGATGAAAAGTGATATCATTGTTGAATAATTAAAAATGATGATAACCATGTATCATATATATGATGACACGCACGAATGAATAGGATTTTTTTTCCGGGACCAAAAAAAAAAAAAAAATTCCACCATTCAATAACGAATTTGAAAACTGTCCATACAAACAAACAAACAAACAAATATTATGGATAAATGAGACTGTAAATGGATCTGTAACACACACACACACACACACACAGACGAATATATCTCAAGTTTCAATAGTTGAATAAAATAAAAATGAAAATGATATGATATGATATTATTCGATATAGATCAAGAATTTCTTTTTTTTTTACTTTTCTGTTTTCATTTTTTTTCCACTTTCGATTCTTGAGTATATGATGAAATATTCTTGTTTTTTTTTCACGTGAAATATATATATAAATAAATATATTTTAATTCTGGACACACAAATGTCATGTTGTTGTTGTTGTTTTTTTTCTGTTTTTGTGTCTTACTTCTTCTTATCACTGAATGATTATTGAATGATTACTGATGGTAAACAAAGCAGCTGCTGTAAACAAAACAAAAAAAAAAAAAAAAATCGGATTCGTTGAAAAAACAATAAAGATCTCCAATTTGATTGATCTATTTGTGTGCGAGTGTGTGTTTTGCGTTTGTAATTTCAAACCAAAACAAAACATGTAAAAAATGATAAAATCCTCATCATCATCATCGAAACCATACTGGATCTATGAAAGTATG